ACTCTTCTGAATACTATTATTTCAGAACTTGTGCTTTTATAGCACTCCATTCTCACTCTGCAGTAGTCCTCTCAGAAATGCAATTTAAATAAATCCATATAAATTATAAAATTGAACAAGTCAAAGATTTATTCAATTCAATCCCCTCTAAATGTTCAACAATATGGGAACAATCATTTGCTAATGTTTCTAATGTCAATCAAAATGGAAGTCCAACTTATGATAAATAATACTGTACATTGCCTCTTTAATTTTTATTATCTTGTTACTTATCATTTATATGTGTTCTTGTGTATGATTTGTTGTTATTCAGGTTCAGCTGCTCATTTTGTAAAAATGGTCTAACAGTTCTTTCATGTTTGCCTAGCCTTAGGCTTTTATGGGGCATTCCTGTCTACTTTCATTTCTTCAGAATGTTTCACAATAATAAGTCTTGACATGCAATAGGAAGGGCACTGCTAGAAAAATGGAACACATTGTTCCTATAACAACTATTAAACCAGTGGTACATTGCTTATTATCATGTCACAGTTTCCTGTTTCTTTGTTACTGGGCAAGAAATCATTTACAAAACAAGTAAAGTAGATCTACAGTACCTGAATAATTAATTGCACACATCATATACCTCTACCATAATATTCACTACAGATATAGTAAATAATCTCTAAATTGAATGAATCATGGGGGGCTTAAACGTATTAGGAATAATTTGTTATTTATTGATTTAATAAGACATATTTAAGTTATTCTCTATTGATTTTTTTTTCTTTGAATCACTTTAATGGGGACTTGCCAGAAGTCCTCTTCTACTATTTTCTTAACAGTCGCCAGAGGGCACCCAAGAGCTACTATCCTTGTAATTAGAATTAAATTTTCTATTTTGAAGGTAAAGACTTCAATCAGGTACTTGTGGCATCATTTTGTAGCTATCACATTGCCTCATTGTGCATAAGACATGTTCTCAATTAATCACTTAATCATTATTTACACACTGTTTTAGATGAAAATACCTTGATAATACAAGTATGCATGTACTATTTATGAGGTGAAATGTGTATTCCAATGAATTAATTTAATTATGTACTTATTTAGGGTAGCATTGTAACTATAGAGTCTGAAATTGGAGTTTACTTATCATCTGGTTTCACATCATTTTTTGTCAGGTCCCCTAGTTTCCTCCCATTTTCCAAAGACATGCTGACTAGGTTAAGTGGTGTCTCTAAAATGTCTCTTTCCTATGGCTTAGCTTCCCATCGAACATGCGGTCCTGCAATGTGCCTGTTAACACAAGATGTACTGTATGCATTATGTATCCATCATACTTGTGTTTCTTATATCAACATTTTGCTCCATTAGAAGAGTAAAGGTTTTGAATAAGAGCATAAGAAAAGCTCTAAAAGAGAAGGCCATCTTCTCTTGGTGCATCTTCTTGCTTACTAGTTTTGTAGCTAAGAGATTCTAAAATGTCACCCAGTCACTTCTTGTGAGCCACAGCTAGGACCTTAACTATATGGATGGGTAGCTTTTTTTCAGATACCTTCAAGTCTTTGTGTAAAGAACCATTTCCTGATATTGGTCCTAAATGTTTTTGGTTTGTAACTGTGAAGATGTGTTCTTATTTCACTGCCGAGTACGTAGAAAGTAATCCCCTGGGCTGATCGATACCTTTTAGGATTTTATAGATGTGGATCACATTTCCACTCAAGCTCTTTTGTTCTAGACTGAAATGGATTAGTTTATTTAATCTGTAAAGGATTAACAATCCCCTGTGACCAGTAAACATTCTTGTTTTTGTTCTTTGATCTCTTCCTAAGGCTATAATAACCAGATCCCATTCACGTGTAGCTTTCCGCTGCACAAAATGACCTACACAATATGGATAGTGTTATGCCCAGATGAGCCAGAGCTCCCACCCCCCATGATTTCCTTGGAAACCATGCTCATTCTCATGAGGAGCTGCATTCCATCCTGGGCTATTCAGACTCGCTTGGGCCGATTTTCGCAGCCTCTCTCATCCAATAAATGGATGCTTCAGTCATCAAGACCACAATATATATACCCTGCTCTCCCACTGATCTGGGGCTCTGCCTTTGAGCCCTTCAGACTTTAGTATGCCATGCTATACTAACCTGCATCACTGAAGGATACTCTGCCTGAATCCACCTGAAAGTTTACTAGTCTGTCCTGAACCTCTTTTACCTGTCAGCAAACACCCCTTCTCAGCATGGGACCATGGGCACAGTTCCCTGCCTGAATCACGGACAGCAGTGCAGCCCCACTGTCTGCATCTACCCTGATGGCTATCCTTGTGTCCAGTCCTCCCAGATTCCGATTGCCATCTCACTTCCGTTATGTCTGTCTGTCTTCATCCTGCCTCATCCATCCCCAGCCATCCTCCACATACAGTACTCCGAGCCCCAACAGGCTCTTTGCAGTTGGATTCCCTGGTCTGTCAGCAAGATGTGTCATAACACAGTGTACTTAATATTCCTACTCTAAAAGAGTTTGCATTTAAGAACAGTGCATTTTACTTGCAACGTGTCTGGTTAATCTATGAGTTCCTCTGTAATTCCTTTGCTGTTATTTCTTTGAGTGCCACACAAATAACCCACTATTTTTCTGTTATCTTCTGATTTAACCAGTTTGCACACTATACTAGAATATAAATAATTGATACAGATAGGAAAGAGACAATGGGCCTAAAACAGATCTCAGTGGTACACCTGTCTACTTAGAAGTCATACCCCTTAAGAAGGTATTTTTCCTGTTTCTATTGATATTGAATTGTGTGCACACATTAATTTCGATTTCCAAGAATTAAATTTTAATAAAAATAAAGCTTTTGGAAATTGAAATATATAGTGTAATATGATTTAGTTATCAAATGCTTTTGTTACTTGTTTGAATAATTCTAGCAAGTTAAAAAAGACATTTTATTCAAGTTAGAAGTCTATTTAAATGACATTGTTTATAAGTATCATTTATCTTTTATATAATAAACTGGTAACTATTACTTTAAGAGTGCTTTTACCATTGTAATACTAAAAAAAAAAAACTTTGTACTATTTCTGACCTGTTGCAGTATTTTTATCAATCTCCTTTTTGTCAATTCTAATATCTTTTTTCAGCTCACTCTTTTCTTTTCATCTTTTACAGTCTGGAAAGCACTTCCTTCCAGTTTTTTTTTTTCATACTTTAGAAATGAATCCACAATATATGAAATATTCATAACAGTCAAGCTTGGAAAATTCATCATCAATTCATTATAAGCTTCTGACTTCTTCTCAGTACTCGTAGACTGAAATAATAGTTTTTAAATACACTGCAGAATATTACATAGCCAGTCTGTGGCATGAATTTGAATTAATGTTATTCAGATATTAACAGTGGTATTCCAATAGTGGAACTGGTAATTGGTTCACTGATAAATCTGAAGGTTGGTTTGATGTGTATCTGTTTAAATTAGTTCCTTGCTAATTAAACAGTGGTATCCTTATACTGGGGTCATTTCACATACAAAGCATGCTGACTTCCTTCAGTTAATCATAATAGGATGGTTAATTACTGTGCATTGCTATAGCAACCTGTAGTGTTCTACAGACCCCATCCATACGAGGCAGTCTGAAGCCAGCATGAGCAAAATAACATTTGCTTAACTGCTATAACTTGGATCTTAGTCTGAAAAACAGCAGAATCTTTAAGGTTTTTCCTTTAAAAACATAACAAAGGTTACTGCGATGATCAATTCTTCATTAATACAATCCACAATCATAATATTATTTTTCTTCCAGACTTTGGCAACCCCCTTTTAAAAGATTTTCAGTTTTGAATAGCCATGTGATGTTTTAGGTCAGCGATTCAGTACCTGTCCGTTGCAATATGAACATGTAGAAGCTATTCTGATGTTAGAAGTGAAATGTCTGCCGTATTAAAAAAGAAAGATATTTGATGGTTCCTGCTGATGTTGCTCTAAACTAAATGAGGCTAACAATATATGGAAAAAAGGTTTCAGAGCGTATGTTTAATGGAGCTTTCGAGGGAAACAGTGGTATTCATAGCGCCACATCATGGCATGTTTTTTTGTGTGAGTTTTGGAGCTCTGATTTGTGCGTTCTGTATGTACTGTATTCAATGCATCATGATGTTTTTCAATGGAAGGCACTGCAGCCACAGCAGTTAGTTTTCTGTAAATTTATGACAATGGCGACTAGAACCCTGGAGTTACTGTAGTTTAAACTCATATAGAATGCAGCTAAAAAATACTAAATGATTCATCATTATTAGAATAACTATAAACCACAATTGCATAAGAATTTAAAAGTAGAATTTAGCTCCAGAATTATTCGTAATTTTTGAAGGAGAGGAACATTGGAGATCAGTCTTTTCAGTGCAATAGTAATGGACGAGAAAGAGGGCAAACATAAAACATTTATTATTGTTATTAATTTATACTGTCATAATCGTAGAGATTAGAAGAACAAAGGGAAGCCATTCGGCCCATTTAACACGTTTGATTTTTAAACAGCTAATTGAGCCAAGGATCATCTCACCCAGTCGTTTAATAACAATTAACTTTTCAGCGCTATATTACTGTACAGCGCTATATTACTGTAGGGATTTTATCACACAGATTTTGATACCAAAAGTTATTAGAAGGTCATTTATTAAAACAATGACTTATTTTACGCCCTTTATTTATCGCCATGACAGTGCAAAAAAAATATCTGTTTTCCGTTTACTCCTACGGTATTGTTTTGCCCACTTCTGTCGTTTATCCTAAAAGCGGCCAGATGTGCTTCGTAATTTATTTTCCCCCAAAAGTGTTTAAAACGTTAAAAAAAGGGGCAGAAAGAGGTTTTAAATGATCAACATCGGTGTCTTGTTATGTGATTCTGCTTGTCGTTTCTAATTTTTGCAGAAATTGTTAGTAACGTATTTGTTAAGAAAAGGAGGGCGCCGAAGCAAGCCAGCTGGTTTGGTCTGAAGGGCTGATCCTGATGGATTTGCTCTGACAGATCCGGGTTAGCCGCCAGGGGAACCCGTTTCTTCACAACAACTCTCCGAGACACACAGATCGCAGCCATAGAGGGGATATAGGCAGAGCTCACAGCACCTCCCTGCTTTATTTCACAAATATACCCCGACTGCTGTTTTGAAACCAAACTGAGACCACTAACTCACGGTGCCTGAATTTTATTACACGTTCTTCAAAGAAGCGAAGAAGTTTGGCTAAATGCAAGAGAACCGAAATGAGATTATTTTTGACCGGACAACCTGTTCACTCACTCCCTCCGCCAGATTTTGCAAGGTAAAGAAGCTTTTGCGAAATAAAGAAGAATTCGTTTTTTGGAGGAGTATGGAAATGTACGAATTAACGAGTAAAAATATTCGAGAAGAATCACTGTGATTTAAAGATATCGAAGCGCTCATCCAAATATTTTAATATTTTGAAGTATTTTCGGTTTAAATAGCCATAAGTATTGCATTTTAAATGCGTATGGGATGACTTGGCTCACAATGTGTTGATATTACCAAGATTATATAGGGTGTAGGTGAATTACTGTACGTTGTATTGCTTCCACACGTGCGTTGCAAGAGGACTTCGGCATTCGATTTGTATTGCATAGAATCACCCTTTGTCTCAATGGATGTTCTGCCTTGGATTATATATTTGTAAATACTGTGCTTTGAAGAACTCATTAATTGCGTTTTTTTACAATGCAGTTATCTACTCTTTTAAGAATACCGTTTCTGCTGTGGAGTATTGATGCTTTATCTTATCCACATGATGAAAGATTAAGAACTAATTTCACTCGGACTGATTATGAAGCCACCTTTTCCCCAAAAAAGGTGAATAGGTCACCTTTGTCAGTAACTACTCGGAAATGGCACAATGCACATGGAAAAGTAATTAATACCGTGACATACTTAGAGGGGCATTCTACAGGTGTTTCTTGGGAGGCAGTGAGGAATTTGAGAAACCGAAATGCAGCAACCTTTGAAATACGAAGAAAATATAAAGGATCATTGAACCACAATGGAAATGTGCCCCCCAGCTCTTTAGAAAAGAGTGCTGAGATTATTTTAGAGGATTCTGCTGCGATCCTGCATGGGGAATCACAAAGCCAACACAATAGAAAGTTGAATTTCAAGATGCTGGCTGCCATGGAAACACACGGTGGATACAATCACTCAAAGGCTCTTTCCATGAGTAAACAAGGAGGTCTGACATCTGAAATGAATCAAAGACGAAAAAGAGGTACCAACAGTATGGAAAATGAAAAGAAAACAGAAAAGAACCGAAGCAAAAAGCCAAAGAAAGGCGGACATTCGTTGAGACATTTAAATGTTTCTTTTGTTGGTCCTCTTACTCCATGGGAGAAGTTACCGAAACCCCTGCCTCTTAACCAATCCACAGATTATTCAAACGATATCAAGAATTATGGATTGTATACTGTACCGGATGACCTAGGGGTTACTATTCCATTGATCCCTTTTGATTCACAAGGGAAAGAAAATGAGGTCAAAAACCCCTTTTATCCCCTAACAGATGAATCGTATGGAGCATACGCAATCATGTGTCTTTCTGTGGTCATTTTCACTGTTGGAATAATTGGGAACATTGCAATTATGTGTATTGTTTGCCACAATTACTATATGAGAAGTATCTCCAATTCACTTTTGGCCAATCTAGCTTTTTGGGATTTCATAAATATCTTCTTCTGCCTGCCTCTGGTGATATTTCATGAGCTGACGAAAAAGTGGCTGTTGGGAGAATTCTCATGTAAAATCATACCCTACATTGAGGTAGGCCTACTGTATATCCCAGATACAGTAACTCACAGTCCAGTGATTTGTTTTCCTGATTGTAGGACATATTATCTATTAAGGGGAAAAAAGGAGGAAACTGAGTTAAGGATAATAACCAATGATATGTTGTTTCTTTAAAGTATTAAAACTCCCAAACACAATTAGGAAATATAAAAACAGTCTTAAAACTTACATCATTTTATACAATGTATTCTGAATGAAGAAATGTTGACTTGTGGTTTTGGTTTCTGCTTGGTGTTATACTGCTTTGAACTTTGTTGGCTAACAAAATATTTACATATTTTAAAAAATTAACACCACATTCCAGAATGTATACATTGTCATGTGCAAAGTAGCAAAACAATTTAAAGTGCAAGTTAAACAATCACTAATATTGATCTGAAACTTGACTGCTTTAGGGTTGCAGTTTAAATCACTGTTTTAAAAAAGCTTCAAAGCAATAGACTGTTAGACAACCAGAATCCACTGGAAAAAGGACAGTGGTCGGTTTAAGGAAGAATGCAAAATATTAGGACCACTGTAGGGGTGAAGTTGGATGTCATATTGTAGTTGTAAATGCCAGAAATAAGATTACATAGCAGAGTCCAGATTGAAAGGCTACCAAAAAAATACAGAGATGTAAACATTTCTCGCACATAAGCCATCCTCAGTTAAAGTAACCCTGTACAGTATATGTTATTTGTACTCCATTAATCATGTTTTGATATTTGTATCTACAGTAGGAAAGCTTATAGGGCTTTAGTAAATCTGCTAAAGCAAAAGGACTGCAAATATTGTTTTTAACTGTAGTCTTTAAGAAATGGGAAATGTTTAATGCTAAAAATGCATTTAGTAGCTACCTAATTAGATTGAAAGATATTATTATTATTAATTCGTTTTTTTTAATGGGTTTTAACTCGTCTTTTCAATATGGATGCCCTCAGTGCCTGTGGAACCTTAGCATTCCTGCATGCACTGATGAATTTTGTATTGTCTAGTATGATAATACCACAAAGACAAATGCATTTCCCCATCTTCAGTGCTGTCAGTTGGTGTGAGGTATATGTCTATGGTGTTTCATGAGGCTGTACATTTTCAAATCAAATGATAAGAAAAACACATTAAACCAGCAACTACTGTATACAGCATACCTGCAAGGACCAAATAATAGAACACATACTGTATGTAACTCAGTAGCACAAAGTAAAACAAGCAGTGTAGGCAGGGCAGTAAGCAGTTTGAAGATATCAAGGGCAGAAGCGGCACCTTAAATTCTGTAATTCCAGATCCTTGTTAAAGACAGTTAAAATTCTGAAGTCAGGCGGATCTTATTGATGGAGAATAGGAAGGCTGTTCCTTCATGCTAAGTTAACAAGACTGAACACATTCACATTCCAAATGGATAGTCCAATTGCTTTTCTCAGAGTCAATCTCAATCTTCTGTCTTTATTATGCATTTGGAATTATTTATGCTGTACTAGCATTCACTTAAGTATTGCTGTAAATTGACTGTAAAAAACAGTTTTGATATACGTCACTTCAAGGCAGTCATTTTTGTAAGTAGTTTGTACATGTATTAAATAAGCACTTTAGAGCAGGAACTTTAAAGTGCATCATTCTCAACACTATTATTACTGAAGGAACATATTCTGTGCAGTTAGAGTATGCCTCTTGTAAACCATCAGTGCGAGGGGTGGGATAACTCACAGATTGCACAAACCGTATCTCTGTTAATACCAGTACGGTAGATCTTAAAGCATAATATAGAAAGTAAAAATAAAATCAGATAACCCCCTTTTTTCAAATTGTTAAAGTGAGGACACCTTAAATTCCAGATCACTCAAATGAAATCCTGGGTAATGAGAAACCCAACCAAAGCTGTTTTTGACAGCTTTCAGGGCATTTTGCTTATTCTCTATACCTTTGTATTCTTTTTAGATTGAACAGATAATTAGTTAGACTCAGATGATTAATTAAACCTGGCAATACTACACTCAGTGCTACAGGCTTGTATTAATTAATGACTTTGAAACACCCACCTATGCTAACTAGAATCTGCAAAAGGGCACTTTGTAAATATAAGTTTAATACCTATTTTACACAAATTAATCAAGTTATATATATTTTTTCTAAACAGTGCAGAAATTTGGCAGCTATTAAAATCTGAAATAGATCCAAATTTATTGAAAATAGCAACAAGAGGGAAATTTCACCTTGTTACTATTTATGTTTGAAAGCGTTTTGAAATTTCTGCTGCAGTAGAAAAAATTATTGGAGAAGAGAAAATTGTAAACGTAGTTAAATAAGAAGAATATGAACATGATTCTTCATATCCATTTTGCTTTTCTTGCACTGTGTCTTAGGCTCTGTAATAAGGGTAATCAAATACCAGCTATTCAAATTCATTCCAGGGCAGAAGTATGGTACAACCAGTTTTACATAAACCGTACTACATAATTTATGTAATTATTAAGCGCTCAAACAACAAAGAGATCATTGTGGTAAAGCCCTTCAGTTAAGTTGACTAACTAGATTTTTAAACTTATTCAGTAAATTGTGTTGACATAGCTCTTAACATATAGAGACACCGTATAAAATGGATTTATTCATCTTTTCACCTCAACTCAGTATATTTTTAAAATAAAAGTTGAAAACATTTACTACTACAAATAGACCACTTATTTGATGTAACTCTTGGTATGAGTGGAGTGCTAATTACCAGGTTAAATTATGAAATTATTGTTTTTTTAAAGACCTGGCGTGCAATTGCAAAAGCTTTTCACTTGCATGTACTGTAGGCACACCAGGTATCCAGCAATGCTTACAGTACATCTTACTTATTATTTACTTGTATCCCAAAAGGTGCAATATAAAAAAAGTATGGTTCCATTCAGTGATGTTATGTCATGCTATGTTATTCTGACTTTATCTTAAGTGCAAAGTAAGTTTTACCCATTGTGGATTCATAGCTCTCTGTTGCCATTGCATACATTATTCACATACTTGCAGTAAATGTAAAAAATGAAAACCCACCAGGATACTTTTATATGTATAACCACATTTTTTTATTAATTACAAGATTTTATTTTGAATTCCACCCCGGATTAATTCATAATTTATGAGATGTTCAAAGTTTCACGGTAGGTAGTGTTCATTTGTTTTAAGCAGTAGTTCTTTGAAAGATCTGTTTATTATTTATAACGTATAGTAACACATGGACATGCTGCAGAGCTTAATAACTACACCACAGCAATATATGCTAAAATATGAATTGGATATGGTAAAGAATGTGTTATGAAAGGGGAAGTTTAGGTTTTTAGCATAAGGAATATCTGCTTTTTAGAGATGGGAAGATACTTTATATGCTAAGTGACTTTTTCAGCTCTATGGGTGAATCTGCTTTCATTTGCAATATGTTCCTTCATTTTACAAGCAGTCCTCTAAAGCAATTCAGTAATTGCTGTCTGACATTTGGGATTGGTTTTTATATGATCTGGCAATTACCAACTGACAAGGCATGTTATGGAAAAATGTCAACTACTTCAGTGTAGTATACCTCAACAAATTCAAGCTAAATCTTTCTTTCCAATTTATAGTGTATATTTGTACTGTAGGTCTGGGGTGCTACAGTACTATAAAAGGTCTAGAGATGTACTTCTTGTGCAACTAGGACTTTGTTAAGTAATGTTCTGTTAATTAATCTGAAACTTCTTTTCCAGATTTGAGATATAATGTATTCCAAATTTATGCTCATATGAAAAATTGGTAATTGCAGTTTAAATCAATGATGTAAAGGACACTGGGGTGTACTATAATTCAAACACTACCATTTTTTTAAAATAAACTAATATACATATATTGTGTTTTGTTCAAGTACTTACCTTTTTGTTATATTCTTACAGGTCGCCTCACTTGGAGTTACAACTTTCACATTATGTGCTTTGTGCATAGATCGTTTCCGTGCTGCAACTAACGTGCAGATGTACTATGAGATGATTGAGAACTGTACATCCACCACAGCTAAGCTAGCTGTTATCTGGATAGGGGCTTTGCTGTTGGCTCTTCCTGAGGTGGTTTTAAGGCAGCTTGTCACAGAAAATCCTGAAGCCCCTAATACAACAGCATGTGAGCGATGTGTGGTGAAAATTTCTCCAGAGCTCCCTGACACCATTTATGTCCTTGCCCTTACCTACGACGGCGCCAGGCTCTGGTGGTACTTTGGGTGTTATTTTTGCTTGCCCACACTCTTCACCATTGGAAGTTCCCTAGTGACCGCAAGAAAAATTCGAAAAGCTGAGAAGGCCTGTGCAAGAGGAAACAAGAAACAAATCCAACTTGAAAGTCAGATGAACTGCACAGTGGTGGCCTTAACTATTTTGTATGGCTTCTGTATTATTCCTGAAAATATCTGCAACATTGTCACAGTCTACATGTCCACAGGAGTTCCCCAGCAGACTATGGACCTTCTCCATCTCATAAGTCAGTTTCTTTTGTTCTTCAAGTCCGGCGTTACGCCAGTGCTCCTCTTCTGTCTTTGCAAGCCTTTCAGCCGGGCTTTTGTGGACTGTTGCTGTTGTTGTTGTGATGAGTGTGTCCAGAAGTCTTCAACAGTGACCAGTGATGACAATGACAATGAGTACACCACAGAGCTTGAGCTGTCTCCTTTCAGCACCATACGCCGGGAGATGTCTGTTTACACCTCTGTTGGTACCCATTGCTGAAATCAACTGGAAATAGTATCCTAGGCCTATTATTATATACTGATAAAAGCATGAATGCCGCATATTGGCTTTACATGCAGGAGTTTACTAATGTTTAGAGATTTTTTTACAAAAAAACATTTATGTTGTTTCTCTGTTTATAAAAAAAATGGTTCTGCAATGGGCTCGAGATTGCTGCATCCCTCAGCAGGAATAAGCAGCTTTCTCATAGTGGATGAATGTTTTTTTTTTATTGTTTTGTTAATTTTATAGTTATTGAAGTTTGTGCAGTTTGCCTTTTATATTGAAAACTGTATTGAAAGTAATATATTGAAAATGGCTGGTTGTAGTGTAATGTCTTTTAAAACTGGTGATTCTTGTGAATCGGTGATGAAGTCATTTTAGATTCCTTGCTACTGTACGTGAGTATTTTAGTCAGAGCACTCTGAATGAACACATGCTTATGTTATTTATAGCAGGAAGAAATGTACCAGTATGCTTGTGTTAGTTTCATGGTAATTTGCTGTTTTTCTGGTAGCGGAAGAAAAAAACTGGACCTGCTGGGTCAGTTAATCGGGAGTTGTTTTCTTCTGAGGAATCAGATGGATTAACCAGAGGCTCGAATAATGACTCCTCTTCAGATTGTTTTGGTGTAGAACAGCAATTTAACCTTTTTTTAATCATATAAAAACTGTATTTGTTTATAAACCTGAAAATAAAATCATTAAGACAGTTTATTTTAATCAGATTTGTGTATTTTTGACTGTTACATCCATACATTCATATTTACTCTGTGTTAAAAAAACATGATAGCTTCACAGTATACTGTACTTTAGATACTTTCAATGTCAATGTCACTTGGTTGTGTCATTATGAAACTGCCATTTATTATACAGGAGTATGTCAGAATATTAATCATAATGAATGCATGTGTAGAAAATAACCTGAAGCTTTTTGTGAAGGATCAATTAAAGAGAATAGGAGGAAATATCTCATTCCTCAGCTAAAGCTATTTAATGAAAGTTCTAAAAGTACACGCAGTGCTGGCACACATACAGTATGGCTTATTATAATGGAATGGAATTTATTCTCAGGAATAATACACATCTCCTAAATGTTGCTTTATTTTATCAAATACACTTGTACTGAGCTTGTATCTATACATCAAAGCATTTTTATGATTGGCTTTAAAGTTAGAGCAGAAGGAAATTCCAGACTCATCCCCTGCTGGCTTAAGGCCATTATAATGGTGATTTAAAACAGTGGGCTTGGTACCAGGCTTGGTCCTCTGTTTCTGCTTGTTCTTGTTTCAGCTGAGCTCTAAATCACCAGTACAAATTGTTGCCTTTAATCAGTGTGCTTGCTTGTTTAGGCTTGTTTCTGTACTGAGTCCTAAGTTTCAAAACTACTGAAATTTGAGTGTATTGTTAACAACCATTTCAGGATACAGACATTTAAGCAGTCTCTTCTTAACTTGCTTGAATTTATTGCCGATTAAACAGCTACTAATTGATAGCATATTTATGATTGGAAGACAAAGTTTAAAAAAAAACCAAAAATGAGTTTTATTTCATTCTTAATGGTCTAGTTGTTTATATTACCATTTAATCCACCCAAATGTGGGAAGTTTTGAAATGTTTCAAATGGCATATACTTGATAACATTCATAAATCTAATTTAATCTTAAAAGCTGACAGCATATTTAAAAATAGATGCCAAATAGTAACTAAGCATTCGGCTTGAGCAAAAATCACTGATTTAACCACTGATTTAAAGTCATCCTACGTTTCCAAGCTACCATAAGGAACAACACATTGCTGCATTTCAGAGAAGGCTCGCTGTTACATAAGGTAGAAGTCAAATCTTTTCCTTCTTAACATTTATAGGCCGAGACCTTAGGAATTCTATTAACATCTGTTCCACACATTTCCTTAAATCATGTTTTAGGACTGATTCATTATTAGTATAGTTCATTTTTGTGATCTAATACTACTGCTGGCTACCATTGACTTTAGTTCCTTGTGAGTCAACATCTGTAATGTTTAATGCTATTTAGTCTAGATTCAGGCCTAAGAATAAATATCTGATTGAGTAAAGTTAATTTATTGAATTGGAATTAATGATTGTTAAGGCAATTCTAATTGCACAGTTTAAATGGAGTCAATGCAATTTTTTAAAGAACTAACCACATAAATTATGTTTCATTGTAATTCTTTATTCTTTCCTAAGTGGTACTGATGCTAAAGAAAGAATTGAACTAGAAATTTGTAGAAATTTTCTACCTTCCCTCCACAGCCTTCATTTCTAAAAAATTACTATTAAGCATGGTTAATTAACTCTAAGTAGTTCACGTAGGTAGCTGTGTCAGCATGCCTAGGCTGCAAAGGAACAAGTAAAGGTTTATTCCATGCTGAAAAGAGAAGAAAAGAAACAACATTTCAACTGTGGAGCCTTCTTAAAAGGTTAAAGGGATTAACCTTTACTTGTCCCTAATTAAGAATTAACCCTAATAACCTCTTACATTTTTAGAAATTTTAAATTCAAAGTTTTGTAGACTCATTCTAGGGATGTAAATATGTAAATGAAGCATAATATGTTTTTGGTAACATCTGGAAACCTGTTGTGTGCAAGAATGAGTATTTCCATTTACCATGACCCAGTGAACTGCTTAAACATATACTGTATACTTCATAGTGTTACTGTGTAGTACATTGCAATTAGGAGAGTGTTTTATTTTTTTTTCTGTTTTCTATTTATATTTCTTTATCATCTAATGTGCTATTGTTTCCCAGTTAAGCATAAAAGTGTATTTCTGCTGAACCTCTTTGTGCCATTACAAAACATTCAGTATCATTAAGGGTTCATTTAGCAAACGTTTTATCCAGTATATCAATAATGGCTATCAACACTCCTACTGTATAACAGAGTGCTCTTTCCTACTCCGTTGGGCCCCTGAGCAAGGCCCTTAACCCCAACTGCTCCAGGGGCGCCGTACAATGGCAGACCCTGCGCTCTGACCCCAAGCTTCTCTCCCTGTCTCTGTCTCTGTGTCTGTGTCTCCCTGGAGAAAAGCTGGGGTATGCGAAAAGACGCATTCCTAATGCAAGAAATTGTATAGGGCTAATAAAGAAACATTAACATTAACATTAACATTAACATCAATATAGAATCTCAGCAAACAACAACAGCGTAGTGGTACCATAAGACATCTTTTAACAGTATAGCTTAGAATTCTGAAACATGAACATCTGTGTTTTTAATACATTTCAATTTGAGTCTGTACATCAATTCTACAGTACATAAAATGAATGAATCTGTCAGTGTCAGAACATCTACCTGAGTGTTATAGCTTCGTAGCAGTGTGACTTTGAGCCACAGAGAGATGGAATTGTACAACTATTGATCACTTCTGACCCATTTTCCGTCTCCAAGTAGAATATAAACCCTGTGTTGCAGATGAAAGACTTGGGATGTAATCATCTTGCAATTTAATGTTGAAGCCTAGAAAATTACCGTTATTTCAATGGACCTGTAATAAATTACTCTTTGGAAATTTTTACTGCCCCTTAAAATGAAAACATCAGTTGCTGAACATACATGAAAATTCAGCATAAGAATTTTGAATTTTTTCTTTATTTCTGTCATTTTATAGGTGAATATTGTAAATTAGATGTTTTATTTTGACAGTTTTTACAACTTTATTTTTTAATAGTGGTTACAGTTCACTCTTCGTCATAAATTACATGTTTTTTTAAAATTATTTTTATTTAGAATCTCATTTAGATCATAATGAATGCGATAGAGGGATGAAATATGTAGATTGTTTTTGGGCTATCTGAGAAAATGGCAGTCTAGCCTGTGTGGCCCAAACCCCCCTCACTGTGGTGAGGAGAGAGCTAAGGAGCTGTTGCCAGGCTGTAGGCAGGCTGGTGGAAGAGGTGTGAGAATTTGTAACAGAGGTTCAGGAGGAAGGGTAGACCCTAGTCTGCTTCTACTCACCCACATTATAAATCTCACATCCAAGACTCCTCTTCTCATATCTCACTCACATCCCCTCAACATTCTTTAAGATCTAGCCAAACTACTGAAAGATTCACAGGATTGTGAAAGTGGTTGAGATTAGGCTCTAACCTTCCTCAAGAACTCATTATAAACTCCATTAACGTTTTAGTAGCAGAGTGAAGTGGTGGTAAGGGCTCTGAACTTATGACTGGAAGATTGTGACTCAAATGTCACTACCGTTGAGCAGTGCCTTGAGCAAGGTACTTCAGTAGTTTGCTTCTGTACAGCAGTATAAATGGGTAAAATAGTAAGTTGCTTTGGATAAAATTATCAACCTGTCAATCTAATAATGTATGATCATTTATATAATATGTTAATATGTTCTTTTGGAGAACTTCAAGCTCAAAGGGAAAAACATGACTCAGTGTGGGCTGCTAAATGTCTGTATACGTGATTGAAGATTACACTTCTGATGCTGCAGATGGTGCAAAGCTCCACATTTTAAGTAAACATGTTTTGAATTAATTTTTGTTTGTTTAGTGTTGTCTACCACAAAGAATACTTTTAAAATTAAAAATTGCTAACATTTCCACGTTCTGCTTTTGTGTGGCTATCTGGAATGTCTCTCATTATTTACTCTTCTGTATTTTGAGTTGAATTGCTTTTTTATCAGATGACTACACAAATATTCAGTAACCTATGAGTCTGTCAACAAATGATCAATTAGTAAGAGCTGGTTAGTCAGAGATAACAGCAAGCAAGATGATGAGAGGCTGAGCAAAGTTCTGCATACTGATGTTGTTGCAAACAATCCCTGATAAGTAGGTTATTTTGTTACTCAGGATTAACTGATGAAAGAACTTAAATAAAAGTCTTCCATTAACACTGGAGATACAGAGCTAGGATGAAAATCCATCAACCAAGGTGTTTTTTCCAGGACCAGGGTTGGGAACCACTGCTCATGATGGCAGTGACAGACTTTAAATCTACGTGAAGGATCACAAAAAGAACCTGTGCTACAGTATGTGGTTTGGATTACATGTGTAATAACATTTATACAGTACTTCATATAAAACCCTAGACAGGGTATTTGAAAATATTATTAGTATTGACTGCCTACCTGCTTCAAGTGAAAACTTCTTATTTCTATGGAGGCAAAAAAAGAACTGATGGAAAAACACCTGGAGAAAAAAAAGCTCATCTTCCATGGGCAATCGGGAGCAAAGCAAATTTGTTTATTTTTTGCATTAAATAGAAAAGCATTTTACATTTTATGTGTTCAGTCCATTCATTTGTCTGACCCTTTGTTTTCTATATGCTAAGGGAGCGCTTTGTTTATTGTAGTTATACTGTTGCCTTTTAATTAAACGTCATGGATTGAAAAAATATGAAATTGTTGTCACATGAATGAAATAGATGTATTAAGAAATAATTTTGCTGCTTCATAAATTATGACCCTTTCCCTGGCATATTACAGAATATCTTGTTGCATATATGTTATTTTTCTTTCAATTGTATAGGCATGAATTCTGGAGAAATCCAAGCTGATGGTATTGTTTGTAGTTTTGGGTAAATAGTCCGTTTTCCCGGAGCCATAACAATGATTTGGAGCCAAAAGATCTTCCTAGCAAAATAGCAGTGTGAAGCAGTACTGTACAGTATATTAAAATCTGTCAAATAGAAATCTCTGAAAACCTAACTAAGCATGACCAAAAAAATATATCAAAAGAAAATT